AAACTGATAAATTATTAGAAATTATTAGGTGTGTATACATTGAGTGGTAAGAAAAGAAAATAAGTGTATTTTCAAGTGTGTAATCAAAAGTTTTCTAAACAGTCTTCATTGTAGTGTCCTGAAGATGGCTTTATAGGGTCCGATTACAATTAGAAGAACACAGCTACGTCGTCATTTGTCAAAGTAATTAATTGGTTATCGCTTCCTACAGGGGTTAATATTATAGGAATATAGTAAATACAGTTTTCGATAATATGTATTCGAAGTAATGATTATGACGTAGCGGTGTTCTTCCAATTGAAGGGGTAAGTGGATGAAGGGGCTATGTTATAAAAAAATAATTTTTAAGCAATTAACTATTTAATTAGATTCATTGGCATTTTTAGTGAAAAATGTCTTTAAAATGCGTTTTTGTGAGTTGGTAAGAGTGATTATGAACTAATTAGACGCACAAGACCAGACCAAAGTAAGACACATATAAACTTAATTAATTCTTCATCAACACAAAAATAGAATTAAAAATGTCACATAACCCCTTCGTCCACTTACCCCTTCAATTGTAATCGGACCCTACAGTACGACATATATAGCTGAAGCCGTCAAGTTTTTCGAGATGATCATTTGGATCTTTATACATTATACTCGAAGTATACACAATGTAAGTGTTGTAAAAAATCGGTTTCTGAGTGCTTAAGGCCGCGAAATTATACATTTAATTTCATGGGCGTCGTTACATAATTCTATGGGGAGGGGCAAAATTTTGAAAAAATTAGAATGTTTGTTGGAAAACAAAGAAAATGAAAAATAAAAGATAATTTTCTTATGATGGATTTAATTATTCTGTGACGTCATGACTTACTTCCGGATTTTCCAGAAATAACAGAAAATCGCAATTTATTTTTAATTTTTAAATAAAAATCCTTTTTCTTATTGAAAATTTGAATTTCTGGGACATTTTTTTATAAGAAGCGTGTAACATGTTAAAAAAAATATTTTCCAATATGATGGTCATTTTAACAGCTGACAGAAAAACCGGAAGTAAGTCATGACGTCACAGAACAATTGAATCCATTAAAAGAAGGTATTTATTCTAGTCTTTCAAACACATCAAAATTATTCTGATATCTCACTGAATCGCAAAGATATGCGTGAGATGAACTTTAGTAGTAACCCTAACAATGTCACTGACCTATTTGACAGAACTGATACTTAAGTTGTCATAACAAGTCTCTAATAAATAAAATAACCCAACAAAAAACTAAAATAAAGAAAAAACCAGAAAAAAAATTTTGCGAAGCAAACCGCGACGACTGCGGTCTGCACAGGTTTTTTTTTTTATAAAAAACTTAACTAACTTAGTGATGAGTTAAGTTTTTTTTATAAAAAAACTAAACTTAATTACCCAATCTGTGTCAGAGCAATCAGTTAATTGCTCCATGCCGACAGGTTAGGTAAATTAGTAAAGTTTTTTATTTTCCCTGTTTTGTATACTTTTTTTTGCAAAGTTTATTAATATTACAAACTGATCAAGTGTTGATCAATGAGTAATTTTGTTATAACCCAACTTAACTAGGGTTACAATCTTAAAAACTAAAGTTCTATTAGCTAGTCTACCTTATGGTCTAAACTAAACTAACGTGTACCACTAAACCGCACAATGCTTTGCTTTGTTATTAACACAATTACTTGGCTAACTCAAAGGGTTTTACTATCTTGAGTCATCTTGTCAGGTTGGTGTTGTCAAGAAGCTGGATCGCCACAACGTTCACATGTTGGTGAAGCCATTGTTTGTTACTCCTAGCGAATCTGGTGGTAGTCCATCTGAAGGTATCGATGAAGGTTACTGTTTCTAATATATTAAGGAGCATCGACAATGTTCCTCAATACTTTGTTTTGGAATCTCTGGATTATTAGAATATTACTGTAGGCTGGCACAATCCCAGAGCTGAATGCCATAGGTCCAAATTGGTTTCAGAACTTGTTTATATAATAGAATTTTTTTATTTAAATAGGCTGGAATGCCTACCAAGTAACCAGTACATTTTATTGAATTCTACATCTCACTCTTGTCTTTTCTTTTTAACATAGACCTTCCAGCGAAGTACGAAAAAAAATTGTAGAACAAATTTCTACAATTATAGATTTTTTTCTACAATAAATAGTACAAATAGGGACAGGGACAATTTGTAGTAAAAATTTCCAAATATTTGTAGAGAATGTATTGTAGAGTTATTATATAATATGTAGTAAAAATATCCATATATATCACAATCACAAGAATTATTGTTCTACAAATTGTTATAATTTTTGCTATTAATTGTATAAATTTATATTAAAAATGTACTGCGTTTCATGAAAATTAATACGAAAATTTTACACAATAAATAGTAAAAATACAAACAAATTGTAGTAATTTTTAATAAAATTTGTAGTAGTATTTCACAATTATTATCATTATAACCTAAAAAATGTTCCTTAATAAAATATTCAAAATTTATTGTTTTATTTAAAAAGATACAAAGTCTTAATTACATTAGGTAATAAATATCAGTAATAATAGCTTCCTCAATCTCAGTTGGTTTTACTGCACTTGAAAAATATGAAATAAAAATTAATACCTATTGAACTGCTCATACCCATAAAACAGGGATATATATAATCTTTACAATGATTGGGATATTAAATGATCACGTCGAAGAACCAAAAAAAAAAAAAAGAGAAAGTAGGTATGTCAGAATTAAATCGAAAAAACATCATCGAACTTGGCACAACAATCGATCGTTAGCCATAACTTTTTTATTAAAATAATCTACTAAGGTTATTTAAATTAGTTATCTAAAGGTAAATTATTCAGAAACAATAATAAATGTATTTACCACTTATAGAAGTTATTATTAAAATTTTCTCGAACCATCACTGCTTATAATATAATAATGTGTTATATATGTACGATGCTTTGTCTTGTGAACATGGCGAACGACTACTGCTGTCTGACCATTTATGGTCGACGTCAGAAAATGTTGGCCAATAGCAGAATTCTTTTTTATTCACATGACTTAAAATTTCTTTAATATTATAGAATATTTTTCAACAAAATTGAATTTTTATCATAAGAAGGGATGTAAAGTATTACTATTTTTTTAGAGATAATTATGAGCATTATTCATGTTAATTGGTATTTTTGACCTTTTTTGCTGGTAAAATTAATATTAACAGATTTGGTTTTGTTTAGTTTAATACGCCATCTTTTGGTCTAATTATTTATTTCATTAACTGATGTTTGTAGTTTATTTGCAGCCTGTTCATGATCTTTGCCTATCGCTAGGATGACAGTATCATGCAAATGTAGCTATTGTGTCTTGTTCTAGATGGGGTATGTCACAAGTGTATAACAGATACAAAGTGGGTTCCAGGACGCTTCCCTGTGGTACTCCTGCTTTAATTTCTTTTAGTTCGGAGTATGCTTCATCTTGTATTACTCTAAAGAATCTATCTGAAATGTATGAATCCAATAGCTCTGAGTATGGATGTGGAAGTAGCACATTCAGTTTATGATTTAAGCCATCATGCCATACTATATCAAAAGCCTGCGCAACATCGATGAAGATCGCTGAACAGACTTCTTTGTTTTCTAATGCTTTTTCAATCGCATTTGAAATTTTATAGATTAGGGATACGTGATACACTTAAAAGTATCGATATCAGGTATCGATACGGATCGGAATGTAAAGTATCGATACAGTGAAATATCGAATGTTGATGTATCGATACTCGAAATATCGATCCTTTAACGATCCGAGATTTTTAGTAGTTATTTCAGTTATTCCCACTTTAATAGGGTTTGACAGACAGATCATATTATGTTTTTTATTTAAAACATTTATTCACCATTTTAAAAATCATTATGTGCAAGATCAATATAAAATAACGCACAAAGTACACAGTTCAATTGTGCGGCTTAGGGCCGATTCCACGTTGTGTTAAACGGAGATTAAAATGACATTGTTAATGTAAAAATGTCATTTTAAACTTCGCTTAATACAACGATGTAATCGGTCCTTACATCATAATCAAAAGATACTTTTTAAAAATGGATTAGGTAGTAGGGATTAGATCGACAGTTGATCGGTGTCGTTTGATTTTTTGATAATTTACTATTTTTAATGTTGATTTTCGATATATTGTCTCCTTTCGTTCTAATGAATTTTCGATCCATTGTCTTCTCGATAAAATATATTTTCGATCAAATACCATTGGATAAAATGTATTTTCGATTAAATTCCAATTCCATCAAATGTTTTTCGATCAATCTTGTGTCACCCGTAGTAAAAAGACAACTTTAAACTTACGACAAATTATTATTTTTAACATTTCGAATTGAGACTACGAGGATATTCCGATTAAAAAAATTATCGCCATAAATTTAAAATACCTACAACCTACTCTTAAACATTTGCTAATAATATGAAATAAAATCAGTGGAAAAATACTTTAGTAAACAAATAACAAGCAGATTAAAATTTTATTTATAACCGAAGCAAAACCGTGTACAATAAAAAATTCATGCATATTATTATGAAAAAAGCTAAACATATACAATGTGAGTGCAGAGAATAATCCAGGTCACATAGATGTTTCGGATTTTTATTTAACATACAATCAAATTAATTAACTCCAAGTTAATTTTTAATTTTGAAAACCGTTATAGACCAACAAGAAAAACTACTAATTTTGTTTGCAAACATTCACGGTGACATTCACGTAGTTGTCAAATTATTATGAGAGAGTACCTTATAAAATCAGACGACATAATCGTCGCTGTCTATCAGATGAAATAAAAATGTCACTTCCTCTGACACAAAGCATAGACGATAAATGACATTTGAGTAAGAGGTAATTGTGTCCGAAATAACGAAATAACGGTTCCAACCGTTATACATACTAGAAATGAAAAGCGTGCCGATTTACGTGTGTAAATTTTATTTTTTTTTTATTTTCAGTGGTATTCCTATCAAAGACGAATTCTCTCTGCCAAAAATAACAAACGATTATGCTGTAAATATTCCGGGTGCGTGTCAAGATAGTTCTCCTGACAGCCCACAACCTGCAAATTATGATCTCAAACAAGGATGGATAAATGGCATCTTTGGCTGTTTGCGACCCGTTCTCTCGATAATTGGGAAAGGAGTCGTAGAAAATAAGAACCCACAAGGTAAATATACGTATATTTAACAAATCTATTATCTTTTAGTTACTTAAAAACGTTTAAAAATAATATTAAAATATAGTTAAATAATTAATATTGAGATAATGTATATTTTTTGTATAAAAAATAAATCAAACGTTAAAATGTTTTGATACAACAACGTTTTCAATACGATTTTTTTGTAACTTAAAATAAATCAACGATAACTTTAAAAGCGAAATAAAAATTAACGTTAATTATGAACAAGAAAATAAAATTATAAAAACACGTATTATTATAAGATCAAACGAACTTACCTTAAGTGAAGTTCGATCTTGATTATACACTGTGCTGCCTTCTTCAGATGATAAGTAAACGTAGTACTCATTTCTGAGCTAGTTGTGCACCATAGTCCAAAGCCAAAACTTATAACCTTACTTTCTATGTAGTTCTCGCATTTTGCGGGTATGGCTCACTTTTTTTAAAGCTTTGTCGCAACTGCGATGATCTGGGATTCAGAGGGTTGGGTTGGGAGAGATCATCTTCGAAGGGAGCGCAGTGTATAATCAAGATCGATTTGATCCTAATTATACACTGCGCTCCCTTCTTCAGATGATAAGTAAACGTAGATTTTTAAAGACAGTTGCGACTACAAGAAACGAGGCAATTTTCAATAAACTTTTATGAAAATGTTTACTAGTGTAACAAAAACAAACTAAAGTTTAATCCACAATAAACTGAATGTATTGAATGATATAAACCCGAACTGGGTTCTATAAGTGTTATGGCACTACTTGGAATCCCATGTAAAATAATGTGATTCGAAAGACAAAAGTATGTCCAGTTTACCATCTTTATATAATTTAGAGGTTTCTTAGGAGGTGTAATTTTTTTTAGGTCTATTTCAGGTGTTGGAAGCAGATCTTTAAAGGTGCCTTTCAACTCTACAACTCTATTTTCTTCTTCTATATTTTGGTCGTCTGAAGAACTATCGAACTATCTTCAGTGCTGGAGCTTCTAGATCTTTTCTTTTTGTATGTATTTTTCTGTACACCAGAAGTTCCTGGCTTATTTGCGGTTAATTCCGTGACCTGACGTTGTAACACATTTTTTGGTTGTAAAGAAGCTAGGTTCATATTTTCTGGAGGTGTATTTTCGTCGTTGTTTGCTTCTCTTCTGCTCAGCTCTGATGGCGCAAAGGCCGTCTTAGGAATTATATTTGGATTGAAGGGAAATATTCCAGTACCTCTAAATCCCGCCATTACATTTGTTTGTGAGGCGGCTTTTGGCCAAACGGCAGTAAATTTTTTTCCAAATGCAGCGATTAGGTCTGTTTACCCAAAAATTCAAAATTTCTTCATCCCAATATATCTCAAATGCACTAAAAACAGATTTGTGCATTGGTTGAAGCCAGTGTGTTGTGTTGCTAGGTAGACAGTACAAAATTATGTTGTGTTTATCTGCTTCTTCAACGATGGCACAGTCTAAATGAGATTAAGTACCATCAAATATGAGCAGTACTTTGCCTTCCGATTTAAATTTCGCAAAGTATTTATTATATTCTACAAAAGCCTCCGTCGTCATACTACCCTTAGCGGTCATTATAAGAATGGATCCTTGTGGAAGGTTATCCTTCCATTCTGGTTTTCCCTGATTCCTTTGATCAAAATCATCGGAGGTATTACATTTCCCAGTGCATTCCCACATGCCACGATTGTGACATTTTCTGCGTGTTCTTCGGCAATCAGATGAACATTTCTCACTCCTTTTTGAGCTAGTACTTCCGGTGCTTTGTGTAGTTTTAGTTGGAATCCCTTTTCATCTAAGTTATAAATTAAATGAGGTTTATCTTGCAAATCTAGCTCAGCGTACAGGTTTCTCAATTTTGCAAAGTGATCATTAACGATAAATTTGTTTAATTTTGCAGCTCTAGCTGCGTTAAGCGGTTGAGCCTTTCTTTTCGAAAGATCAGGATTACGTTTTAAAAACAGTGTCGTCCATTTGCGCTCAGCCATTTTTTTTTTCTTTCAAAAAAGGATGAGCGATTTTATTTTTCTCACAAAATGTAAAAACGCTTCTGCGTAAAACCTTTTCTGTTAACGGCATTCCAATCTCTGCTAATCTTTTAATTCAAATGGTCAGATCTTTCTCCTGATCTTCACTCAAAAAAGTACTTCTACCAATTTTTTCTCCGTACTACCTGTTATCATGTGGTTTCTTAAAGTCCTCCTTGGTATAGATTAAAGCCTACTTGCAGCTCGAACACTGAGCTCTCCGCTACTGGCGGAAGCCATTGCTGCATTTAATTGTTGCTGACTCCACAAAGCTCTTTTTTTAGGCGGCATGCTGAAATAAAAAAAGAAATCTAATAAAAATATCAGTTTAATACTAATAAGGCCCAAGCCTTATTAGTATACACCAAAAAGGGCCATATCAGTATGCATCAAAAGAAGTCATGTTTTATAAAATAAATATATTCAAAACTTGGTTTTTACTTAAAGTTTGGTAATTCTAACTTCACTATGTTCAAAAAGAATATTCAACCAATGATTTCAGTTAATTTTAACTCAAAATACTCACCTGTTTCGAAAATATCGACCCAAAGAAAAACACACGTTTTTAATAAAATAGATAGCCCGATGTTGCACTCGTCACGTTTCTTGTTACAATAGCAAAATAGAGCAGTTGACGCGGCGCAAGCGGTCTGGCCTATACATAGATATATAACCAAGACAGATAGGATTATTTACAAAATTTTTGAAGAATGAACGGTGGTGTCCGCGGTAGAAACTCAATAATCGGATTGAACATTGATGCCAAGTTTACGTGCTTTTAACTATAGATATATATAACCCATACAGAATACACAATTTCTGAAGTCAACGCGGATGATCCTCGACAGAAATGCAATATTTGGATAAAATTAAAATATTGATGCCAAGTTTGCGATGATTTTAACTGTAGTAATGTTATTGCGTTTGCTTGAATTACTGTTAGGTCTTTAAATTGTCAAAAAAAATAATGTCTGACAACAGCGGAAGTAGAGTAGACCGCAATTGTGGAGGGTCGTATATTGTTTCATTCATAAAATTCCTTCGATACAGTACTAGTCCAGGAGCCAGTGAATTTTTTTCGTACTTGTTTTCCCGGTCCGTGTATATTTAAATAATCCATTTCCAGTGAACTGTATATTTAAAATGGAACACCAATCTATTAACAAAAGTAAGTCAGATTGAATTCGCTCATTACGTCACATCGATACAAGTGAGATTGTTTACAAAGTGCCTTTGCAGGCCTATTTTGCCCATTTCATGTATTTGTTTTTAAATCATGTTAAATTACTATTTTTGAAACTCAACAAGGAGAAAATCCAATTAACTCTTCCGTTGTGTATATATATAAGATAAATTAACTGAAGTTTTATTAGTAAAGTATTAATACTAAAATTTTAATGTAATTTACAGAAAATAGCTAGGTATGTATTTGTTTTTAAATAATTTGATAATTTATAAAAAAAGGGAGTAAAAGTGGAATGACCAGTGGCCAGTAGGTCAGTCAATACAAAGTATCATATATTTCTATTATAACATAACTAAAATACCTACATCTTTTAATCATAAGGACATAAGTTAAAAACCATTTTAATATATGCATTAGAATGAATTAATAATAACTTAAAGAGACGAGGTCTTAAAATAATAGCTGGTACAGCATGTTTTTTAAATGTTTCCTCATTGCTGCTAGAATGAAATCACTTACTATGAAATGTGCTCTAAAAACGGCATTTATAGCAGTCAGTGTTCAGTCTTAGGATCTCTTCCTAAAGCCCTCATCCAAGCTGCATACATATTAAAAAATAATTAAAAAAAAAAACATATTATATACCTATATAGTTTTCGGTTCTGGGTGCCCTAAAAGAAGACACTTAGCCGACAATTTGGTTCAGATAGCTAAAACCTTAAAGTCACACCCCTAACCAGGACGTATTGCTATCCTTTTAAGTAAAAAATAACTACAAATAACTTACCTCAAAAATGAAGGCGTCTAACTTTACACCAAAAAAAACCATACATTTTTTCCCATTGTTGCAAGCACCCGATGACGATTAGGTAGATATCAACTAGAAGCATGTACTTAATGGTTATAAAGCTTATTTTAACACAAAAAGAATAAAGCACTAGTCGAAAAGCAGCAATCAAATATAAATAGACCACAATATTAAAATTCAAATTAAAAACTATATAAAAGACAAATACTATAAAAGCGCAAAATATCAGAACCAAATAAAATGAATAACCATAATAACCTAAAAATCACACTAAAATTGCAAAAACTATTACTGTAAAATCATGAGATTACATCAATAATGCATATGCGTCGTAGTATCGCAAATGTCAAAAGTACAGTGTTTCCATGAAAATTTAGCTACGTTTTTAGCAGTATTATAGGACCATTTCTACCACGCGCATCCAACGATATTGGCGTTCCACAGTTCACTGTATTTTCCTCACATTTCTAGTATAAATGATTTGACATAACGAAACTAACAATAATTATAATTAATGTAGAGTAATAAGTGATTCGTGAATTCTAAATAAAACAATTATTATATAAAAGTGTAAAAGGAAATGTAATTTATTTCCCTATTTTCTTCTGTAATATCTTCAATTATTATGTTTAATTTCTATAAATAAACCAACTGGTTAGGTGAAACATTGTGATATAAGATTTTATTTATGTGTCCTATGCGTACACTTTAATATACAAAACACCTGGAACATTTTTTAAATAATTGTGGTCGTAGAAATAATAACTCGTTTGAAAGTGTATTTTATGAACTTGCCAAATATATTATCCATACAGATTAATCAGACTATTTTTTTAGTTAACTTCAGTACTACTAAAACTATTTTTATCAATGGAAAAAAAGGGCCGTGTTCTCGTATGTTTTGACGCATTTCGGCCTCAGCCCATCGGATCCATATGAATTTTGCTTAGAATTGCTAATCCTACAATTCTCTATTCGTGCTTGCTGACTGGGAAAATAAATACCGAAAATAGTCACTGTCTCCTGGACTATACAATAGATGATGATCAGAACTTCACAACAAATACACTTTTATGAATGGCTAGTTGGGGATGTGGGTCTATACTTACTTGGACATGCTCTTTCAAGGTTATTCAATTACAACGATCATTACATACTGTACAGTGTTGCCAATATCATCAGTGGGCCTTATTGGGCTCGTGGGCCTTATTTGGCTCAGGTCCCTTATTTTCCTATATTTTATTAAAATTTAAAACATTTTCGATTTGACGTGTGTACACAATCATAGTACAAAACTTGGCACCAAAATGAAAAGTGAGCCACACCCGCAAAATGCGGGAACTACATAGAAAGTGAGGTTATAAGTTTTGGCTTTGGACTAGCTCATAAATGAGTACTTCGTTTACTTATCATCTGAAGAAGGGAGCGCAGTGTATAATTTTATTAAATTTTCAACATTCAGTTAAAAATAGCTAAAGAAATACGTTAGAAAGTAGTACTTTTTATACGTATAATTGTTCAACTAAAATTTTAACGTTGAATTTTCAACCTACAACGTTTTTTTATACCGTACAACGTTATATTTACGTTAAAAAACCGAGTGTGTGCTCATTGGGAAGGAATTGTACAACTTTGTGAACGGATGTATATTTCAATTTGTTTTTCTTTACAGATGATTGGGAGATACCTTTCGATCAAATCACTGACCTCAAATTTCTTGGATCTGGTGGGCAAGGAGCAGTCTTCTCCGGAATGCTCAATAACGTACAAGTGGCTGTCAAAAAAGTCTCCGATCTAAAAGACACAGATATACGAAATCTTCGCAAGTTAAATCACCCAAATATTGTCAAATTCAAGGGAGTTTGTACGCAAGAAACGTCATGCTATTGCATTGTGATGGAATTTTGTCCGTATGGACCACTGTTCGATTTGCTCAAAAACCAAAAAAATATTGTTACTATAAATAGAGTAGTTTCATGGGCCAAGCAGATTGCCAACGGTATGCATTATTTGCATAGCCATAAAATTATTCATCGGGATTTGAAGAGTCCAAAGTAAGTTAATAATTTTACAAACATAAATCGATCTTACAAAGTAACCTTTCAATGTAAAGAGTAATCCACAATTTTCTCTCTCAAGTTAGAGATACGAGTCATGTCTGTGATTATTACGCACGGTTCTGAATTAAACACAAACTTAAGCTGGATTTATAAACTAGGCTTAGTTGGCGCTCAGTTCGAGTTGACAAGACATAACCACAAATTGCACAAAATAAATTATATTTTGTTATTTTTGTCTGTAAAAGGTCTTTACAAAAACATACCACATATTCCTTAGACCAAAATAAGTCGATTTAAGTAAAATTACCTTAGTACAAAGTTGCTTCGTTTGGGCTCCAGACGGCCTTGAAGTTACAATTTTTAAATCGTTTTTCCCATATAAATTTAAAACGACATATGCGATTTTGCTGAAATTTGGTATATTGGTAGAGTTTTATGTGGCAAAAAAATTGGTATTAAAATTTTGTCCGATAATAATACATAGGCGTAGAACTTGATTTTTTAAATAATTGCACCTTTAAAAATTCTACGCCAATGGAAGAAAAGGAGTTTGAGTATGAAATTTAGATTGCGCAACTCATTTACTTTAAAAAAGGTACTCTTGATAAGACTCGATTACTCTCATGGTTTTCGCTAAATTTCTGTTTTAATAATTTAGAGTGTATAGGTTTCAAAAAAATATTTATTTACAACATAATCAAAATGGAGATTTTACAAAAATTGTTCAAAATGTTCACCATTTTCACGCATACAAAGATTTATACGTCGAAGAAAATTAAAATGTATCCTTTCCATTAAACTGGGCCAAAAAAATAACTATTTTTTTTTTTTTTTTGAAAGATATATCGAGAATATCATTCAGAATGATAAAAAAAAATTTCGTGAAAATTTGAGCCCTTAATATTAATTTTAAGAGGTCTATCATCGCTATTTTTGATTTTTTGTCATAATTTGATGTTTTACGTTAGAACTGTCAAAACATTAAAGTGAAAAAAATTCCTTTTTACTTATTCTGATATAAAATTAAATTCTCTACGAAAATGGTCTGATTGAAAATTTTCGTCAGACGAGCTGTTTCCAAATAATTTCGTAACTAATAAATAACTTTTAAAGAATTAAATTTAGGCAAAAATATTAAGAGACCTTTTTTGTAGAACATTAATTTTCCTTTAAGAATCCGACGTGGTCTTTTTTAAATATGCATTGATTCATTAGTTACGAAATTACTCGAAAACGGCTCGTCTGACAAAAATTTTAATAGGGCCTTTTTTGTAGAGAATTTAATTTTATATCAGAATAAGTGAAAAGGAATTTTTTTCACTTTAATGTTTTGACAGTTCTAACGTAAAACATCAAATTATGACAAAAAATCAAAAATAGCGATGATAGACCTCTTAAAATTAATATTAAGGGCTCAAATTTTTAGGAAATTTTTTTTCATCATTCTGAATGATATTCTCGATATATCTTTCAAAAAAAAAATTGTTATTTTTTTGACCCAGTCTACTTTCCATAACTTCTTCATCACCTCTAAGATTGTTTATTGCATCTTGAATACGTTGCCAGAGTTGTTCCTCATTTTCTACAGGTTCCCTGTAAACTGTGGATTTCAGATGTCCCCATAAAAAGTAATCCATCGGTGTTAGGTCTGGGGAACGTGGTGGCCAGTTTACAGGTGCGTCATTACCTCTGCCTATCCATTTGTGTGGATATTATTCATTCAAGTGGTTTCTAACGTTTAAAGAAAAATGTGGTGGAGCTCCATCTTGCATAAACCACATATCTCTCCGAAGTTGGAGAGGTAAATCTTCTAACAATTCTGGCAACGTATTTTGTAGAAAATCCAAATAATTTTCTCTAGTTAATCTTCGTGGAAGTATGACAGGACCAACAATGAAATTACCAATTATTCCAGCCCACACATTAATTTTGAATTCGTGCTGAACATGGTTTACCTTTATTGCATGCGGATTTTCAACGGCATAAACATGTTCATTATGGGTATTAGTTATACCTATTCTTGTAAAACCCACTTCATCGGTAAAGAGAACCTACTTGAAAAAGTTTGGATCTCTTTCTCTTTGCATATTAACAAATCAACAAAAACCCAAACGAATTTGAGGATCATGGACTAATAATTCTTGTACTGGCTTCTTATGGTATGGATATAGCAATTGTTCTCTAAGCACTTTAAGAACGACATCTTTACTTACTCCTAGTTCCCTTCCAATTCGTCTGGTGCTTAATTCTGGATCTTCTTGAACACGTTCTAAAATGTCTTCTTCAACTTCAGGAATCCTTACAAAACGTTCTCTTCCATTATTAACAATGTTGGGAGCAAAGGAACCGGTCTCCCGAAGACGTCTCTCAACAGCAGCAAAACTTGGGTGGCTAGGTACACGACGATTTGGAAACCTTTCAGAGTACACCCTGACACTCTCTCGAGCATTTCCTTCACAAAATCCTAATGTCAGTAACATATCGGTATATTCTTCATTGGTATATTGTACAGCCATATTAATAAACCACGCATTTGTTTTTTTAATTATTGAGTCAGATAGAACACTTTCAATCGTTAACAAGAGATTGGGTGTTAAAACTAGACAATATTTTTATTTAGATGAAACTATGGAAACCAGCAATAAATGTTTTTGTATACGTATTGCATAATAATTAATATTCCTCAAAAAATCGTACATGGCAAGAATCGAGTATTTTTGTTAAAAGTCTCGATTAGAGGTGTTGAAGAAGATATGAAAAAAATACATTTTTATGTTTTTCATCGTATAAAATTTTGTCCGATAATAATACATAGGCGTTGAACTTGATTTTTTAAATAATTACACCTTTAAAAATTCTACGACAATGGCAAAAAAGGGGTTTGAGTATGAAATTTGGATTGGGTACTCATTTACTACAAAAAAGAACCCTTGATAACACTCGATTTACTCTCATGGTTTTGACAAAGTTTGTATTTTAATAATTATTGTTCTAAAATTACTAAAATGCAACTTTCGTCAAAACCATGAGAGTAATCGAGCCTTATCAAGAGTACCTTTTTTAAAGTAAATGAGTTGCGCAATCTAAATTTCATACTCAAACTCCTTTTCTTCCATTGGCGTAGAATATTTAAAGGTGCAATTATTTAAAAAATCAAGTTCTACGCCTATGTATTATTATCGGACAAAATTTTAATACCATTTTTTTGCCACATAAAACTCTACCAATATACCAAATTTCAGCAAAATCGCATATGCCGTTTTAAATTTATATGGGAAAAACGATTTAAAAATTGTAACTTCAAGGCCCTCTGGAGCCCAAACGAAGCAACTTTGTACTAAGGTAATTTTACTTAAATCGACTTATTTGGGTCTAAGGAATATGTGGTATGTTTTTGTAAAGACATTTTACATACATCCTGTATATGTTTCCAATGACAAAACTTTATCAGTATCCCTTCAATTTTCTGTTACACATGCCCTATTGGTCTTAACTGGGGTCGAATTGTATGCCAAAATAATTAAAATTGTATTCTAAACATCAAATCAGGTGTAAAATCCATATCAGTACCTCACTAACCCTTCAAGGGATTACAGTTATTAATATAATATTATTTACATTCCAGCTGAAACTGTATAAGTTCACTTTTAAGCAAAACATTTTAAATTTATTAAAAAGAAAGAGACAAACGCAACAAAAAGAAGCATACTCTCATCTGCTAATGGTGTTACTATTTTGTTGATTATGGATTGCCCCCGTTAGTGATGATATCGAAGATTAATAAAAACTAAATGTAAGAAGTGCTGGCCTACTTATCTTCTATTATCTATACTAACAGACAATTAGAATCTGTACTAATTTAAATCTATTTCTAGAATCTTTTTGTAGGTTTCTAGATTTGCAAACAACTCGGCTCCAGTGCTAGCTATTCTTAAGGATTCTATACAGCTCATATCTTCTCACTTAGCATACTAAATGTTCCTATAATTTTTCGTTCTTTCCTCTTCAAATAAAATTATTACTTTTAGTGTACTGATTGGAGAAAATGAAGTGATCAAAATAAGCGATTTTGGTACATCGAGGACTTGGAACGGAGTTAGCGAAAAAATGACATTTGCAGGAACGGTAGCTTGGATGGCGCCAGAAGCTATACAAGAACTAGCTTGTAGCGAAAAGGTCGACATATGGTCATTTGGTATCGTTCTTTGGGAACTAATAACTTGTGAAGTCCCTTACGATGGAATGAATCAAGGCGCCATTATGTATTCAGTTGGTTCCGGAAAGCTAATCCCGCCTATTCCAACCACATGCCCGGATGGTTTCAAATTAATCATGCAAATGTGTTGGAAATTCAATCCAAGAGAACGACCTAATTTCAAACTAATTTGTAACCATTTAGAAATAGCATCTGTTGACATTCTTTCTAAATACGAAGACAAAACATTCTTTGAAACTCAGGAAAGTTGGAAACAAGAAATCAGATCTCAAATTTATCTTTTCTGTGAGAAATTACAGAAACATAAAATAGAATATCAGCTAAAAGAAGAACAACTCATCAAAAGAAGAGAGTTGGAATTGAAACATATACGAGATATAAGAGAAGTATACGATAGAAGATTAGAGAAAGTGAATCAGATGTTAGTGGAGTTAGCAGGGAAAATGCAACAAATCGAAAGACAACGCCCTCCTTGTAGACAACGGAAAATTTTGTCGCGGTTTAATACTAGACGAAAACCTGGTAATCAAAGCACCACACCTACTAGTCCAGAATGCAGCTTGACGAGTCCTGATAGCCCTCAGACTGTGAGTAAATCTATATTTACATTCTTCAAATTTGTAATAACCCCTTTCATTATTTATAGATTCCTACGAAGCCTCCTGAATACAGTAGACTCAAATTACAACCAGATATCGCAACACAATCAACCACCACTCAAACAACAATAACATCACGCAAGCGACATAGTCGAACAAACTCAAATTCGCCAAGGAATTCACGATGTTCCAGAACGTCAAGTTCTCGAATGTCGGTTGTAGTGGATGCAGAAACACAGACTGAGTCAATGGATATAAGCGAAACGGATTTGAGTCCAGCGACAAGTTGTCCTACTACTAGTTGTGCAAGTACCACGGTTTATCCTCAACGGGTCATCTTGCAAGAGTTCCAGGGTTCTACGAAAGATGAAGGGACTAATGGGAATAGTGTGACGTTACATTATATGATTCCACATCCAGAACCAGGTTCGTTATTTATTTTTACTAATGTTAATGTATTAAATAATTATTTACTATAAATGAGTAAGATGAAATATCAAAGATGCCAGTCGTATTATTCTAAATTGCAAGCAATCTCGGTGTTATTCAAGCCTTAGAATATATATAGTCAAGAAGGAGGAATCCTAAACGACCTTGAAATCGCGATGGTATCTAATTTTGACAGTGAACTAGACGAATATGGCGACAAGTGTTTCCGGTCTACCAGTGACGTACTGTCATAAAGGGGCGTACAAAAGAAAATAATAAACTCTTATGGAAATTGGGTTTCTGTCAAATTGTCTAAATTTTTAATGTTGTAGATTTTGTCATTCTGAACAAAAGTCTCTATGGGCACAAAGTGCCAAAATGAATATTTTGGCAGCTACGGAGCTGCCAAAGCTCCCCTGACCCGTTGCAAAACTATTCATTTTCAATACTATTTACAGATGTCAAAAGCATATTTCAATTATTCTAATATATAGGGTAATGTTTTTGAGGTCACTGGATTCAACCCTCATATCAGATTGGACAAATTGACCGTTGACAGCTGTTAATTCATTATCAACGAGGAATTTAAAAGTAAATATCCTCTTTTCACATTGAGAGTTTGGGTTCTTGAGGTCGTTGAATTCAATTCTCATGTCAGATTGGACAAATTGACCATTGACAGCTGTCAATTCACTGTCAACGAAGAATAGAGAAGTAAATATTCTCTGTTGACATTGAGAGTTTGGGCTTTTGAGGGAGCTGAATTCAATTCTAATATCAGATTGGAAAAAATTGACAGTTGACAGCTGACAGCTGTCAATTTACTGTCAAAGTAGAATAACTATTAAAGAAATTATTTTTGACCTTAGAATGATTTGTTTTGAGCCTGCTAAATCCAAAGCTGATGTAAAGTCAGAGAAAATAATAGTTTGTGTTGATATTAAAATACGTTTAACTTAAATCTTGCTATTTGCAACATTTCTATGCTCTTTAGATCATTGAATCCAAGTAAGTCATAAAATTGAAGACACCGTAAGTTTACAGCTGTCAACTAGGTATGATAATCTTCACCAAGAGAATACCTATGTTTGAAAGGAATATAATTATGCCCAAATATTTGATGTGTTTCGATCATCGCTAGTCATTGGATTCTTGAGAGGCTTCGTTTATTCAAAAACTCAAACTCTCAATGTGAAAAGAGAATATTTTCTTCTTTATTCTACTTTGACAGTGAATTGACAGCTGTCAAGTCTCAATTTTTCCAATCTGGAAAGGGATGTGCATACTCAACACGTAACGAATTGTATAGAGAGAGACATTACATACAAATCGCATTCTGTGGAATAAAGATAGTCGTCTCAACACGTGCCGAATTGAAAGATGAGAATCACCAATGCTGGTATGAGAATTGAATTCAGCGACCTCAAGAACTTAAACTCTCAATGTCAACAGAGAATATTTACTTCTCTATTCTTCGTTGACAGTGAATTGACAGCTGTCAACTGTCAATTTGTCCAATCTGACATGATAATTGAATTCAGCGACCTCAAGAACCCAAACTCTCAATGTGAAAAGAGGATATTTACTTTTATATTCCTCGTTGACAGTGATACAACGGTCAATTTGACCAATCTGACATAAGGGGTGAAACCAGTGACCTCAAAAATATTACCCTATATATTAGAATAATTAAAATATGCTTTTGACATCTGTAAATAGTACTGAAAATCAATAGTTTTGCAACGGGTCAGGGGAGCTTTGGCAGCTCCGTAGCTGCCAATTTCCATAAGATTATTGCGGGGTCCTTTACCGATGTTTCTCATTTGTGAAAAATCACTTAAAAAATAATCTGTTTTTAAAAGAAATATTTCTTCAAGGTGATAAGACTTATTATAATAATCCTAAGAAAAAGTTATTACTAAAAACTTTCCCTTGTATAACAATAAACGATTAAGTACAGGTAAAGATCTTTTAACTAAACTGAAGATAATAAAATAATCCACTGCATTAAGTACTTAAATTACTAAAAAGATAGATTTGAATACTTTGCGGTACACAGAATAAGCTCCTTTCATTAGAAGTCCAGATTCATCTGCAAGATACATGGGAAACATCTTTAGTAAACTAAGATTTTTATGTAAATATTTACGAGTTGAATTTTGACGGCAATAATGAGATTCAACTCTTCCAAATTTATTTATGTGTTCGGTAACTCCATTAATTAATTGAAGGTCTCTATCGACTTGTGACTTATACCTTCCTCCTCTTGTACTTATAAGTCTTTACTGTCGTTGCCAGAGTATTAATAAAAAATGTTTTACAAACTGGTAGTTCGTCGCCGTCTAACGGAAGAAAGTAATAATTGCTTTTATTTCTTCGAGATACTTCTTTTTGTGTAGTTTTTTGTTTGATTTCTTCCATTTTGATGCACCTTGCAATGTACTCTCTTTGTAACTGCAAGGATCCCATTGAATAAAAATCTTGCATAATCTCTTGTCTTTTACCATCACTGAAGAGACGACATTTCTTATTACGTTTTGAACATGACTCCCCATTGCATCGAGATCCTAATTGTTTTGGTGGCATGAGGTTTATTATTTTCGGTCTTACATAACACTGTCCTTTGTTCTTTAGTTCTTTGGATAATTTATATGAATTTATTTTCCTGACTTTTTTAAATGAAATTTCTCTTGGAGATCCCTCGACTGGAAACAAGCTCTCCGGATTGTAACCTTGGTGTGAGTGGCATTTATTATCTGCTTCAAAGTATTCAAAACAGAGTAAGACTTTTAAGCAGACACAAGCACTATATATTTCAAATGAACAATTTGGGTGTTCACAGAGCTTTTCGTTGCTGTCTTCATTATCTAAGTTAGCTGCTTCATTTGCCTTCGGGCTTCTTTTATTAATCTTTCTAGACTGTTTCTCTAATTCTTTATTTGTCCAACTTTCTAGACTAAATAAGTGACGCCGACGTAGATCATGATTATTACAAACAACTTCTTTGCAAAGTAATGCACTACACTCGTTAATGCCTTTGTTTTTACATTTTCTCGCGGTACATTCATAAACAACAAAATCAGGGTCTTCATCACTGTAATCTCCAAATAGTGAGTCCTCACTTTCACTATTGAATTGAGTATACTTTCGTTTTTTAGCTTCTCTTGTTATCCGCCCTTCTCAAAAGTGTTTGGTACATCAACTTTATTCTTGTTTTTTTTTTTAATAATGGATTTTGATAAGCCAACTTCCTCCTGGCTATTATCATCAGAGCTGTTGTACTGTGCGTCACTATCATCATCATCATTTTCTGTAGCAACTACTATTCCATAGTAGAATTTTCCACCATAGTCCATTTTTTTCAAAACGGTTTGATCCATCAATAAGAGACAATTCTTTAATTGCAACAACATTTTCTGTTCCTTTTTCCCATTTAATTAAAACATCCATGATTATTAATTAGTTATCTGAAACAAATAATAATTACAGGTCTCGTCACCTCCAAACAAAACACATACAAAACAAAACAGTTTATTAGTTTATTCGCAACCACACAACCAATTATTTTTATCATAGTTTTATTAAATTTACGACACCGCGATTTTTTCCCTTTTTAAATCGGGAATTGGTCGGTCTAATTCTTTAATTTGTAGTTTTTCTTCAAGCGAAAAACCACTAGTTTTTTAAGACGCCAATTTTATTCATTGTCACAATAAATTAAAAAGTAGGAAATAAGATATTTAAAAAATTACATTTGACAACACTAATTAAATTTTCGTGGACTTTTAGTAGTATTAAAATTTGCACCGCGGATGCAGTTTCGTTGTTAAAAATTCTACCTGACCGATTCGGGATGCAGTTTCGAACGTCCGTTCGAAACACTGTGAATCTGTGTCGCTGTTTGTCGTGACCTTTCTGTCTAAAATGCTAAATATAAATTTCTACATCTTCTCAAAGACTCCTGAAACAATATTACCAACACTTTCTACATTTCCATGAGATAATTGAATAATAATTGTTACATGATTCACCGTGTATCACTAATCACTGTTAACCAGGTTATTATAATTTTAATTTCCTTGATCTTGAACCTGGTCAATATAAATTAATTATATTTCAGATTGTACTCGTAATTAATTGAATTCAAATTTTTCCGAATAGTTCAAATATTCACAAGGCCGGACGGATCTCGAACACCCAGTCCAAATATCTTCGAATCTGAAGACAGCGTCAATCGAAATATACACCCGCAAATATCCAGTGAAGAAGACAATCTAGAAACTATTGGTAGAAAGGTTTCAGCTATCAAAATCGATACGATGTTTTCACCGGAGAATGGCAACCTTTCGACAAATTTCTGTGATATTATGAGGCAGCGATCGTTTTCGGAAACTAGAGATGATTTGGATAGTACTGAAGATGCAGCCAATGACAGTGTTTCAGATGAAGAGGGCGAGGTTTATAATCAATCATTAAGAAGGAGAAGGTAAATATATGTATTTAAATATTCAACTTATGTTTTAATTGTTTCATCAATGCCATATCTTGTTAAAACTGTCTTCTAAAATGAAGAACAAACAATTTTATGTTGATTATGTTCTATACTTTTTGCCAAACTTCATTTTTTTGCCGTTAGAGCACACCAAATTGCTGCTTTTCGCATTTTACATAAAAACCATGCACTTTGGTGAAAAATTTCATCAAAACAAAGTTCTTGTATTTCTGACAACTATGGAAAGTTTAATATTATTTAAAATAACTATAAAATATTGCAAAATTAGATATATCTATCGGTTATAAGTGCCCAGAATACTGCGACCTTTTGGCACCAAGTCTTCCTGGGGTAAAAGAAGTGTCGCCTCAAAACTAGAGCTTTAAAATCGAGGATAACATAGTATGAGATTTCCTCCTGTTCCATATAGAGTTTACACGTGGTGGGATCTGTTCCTGGAGTACTATTTAGAATTTTAGACCGAAAAGGAAGTGTCGTCTCAAAACTAGAGCTTTAAATTGAGTTTTCTTCCTCTTCAATGCAGATTCTGTACGTGGTGGGATCACTCTATAATCCCATTATGTGAAAGTGTTCCAGCAAACAGTCTTTAGAGTTTTAGTACCTCATTAACTATGTGTTTGGTCCCCTTTACTGATTTTGTTACAAGTGAGTTTGGTCTACACTAGTTATCCACCTGTTTACTGTCTGTCGAGCAAAGGTTTTGCTTATATTAAACGCAGGTGCAGGTCCTGTGAATGATAGTTATAATCCCTCTTTCTCGAACTAATCAGACTTTTTATTTCCTTTGACACTTTTATGTTCTGGTACTTTATTTTGGGTTGTTAGATCATTAGGTACATAAATATTCCAAGACAGTTCTAAACGATTCTGTTTGAATCAAGGTCCTTTAAGGCTTTTTGACTGTGTCAGAGAATTAGATTTTTTTTTTGTAGATGGGACCATAACCTGTTAGAATAAATATGGACTACTTTTGATAAATAACTATATTAGACTGGGCCAAAAAAATAAAGCATTTTTTTTTCTTAGCGGAAATATGAAAATATTGTTCATGACGACAAAAAAAATTTTCCTGAAAGTAGCCCTTAATAATAATATTAAGAGGTGCATCATTGCAGTTATTGATTTTTCAACAGTTGTCGCGTTTTTGCATAAATTTCGGACTTGGTCAATTTTAAAAAAAAAATTCATCTCTTATCCTTGTAGGAAATTAAATTCCCCACAAAAAAGCTCTCTTAGTAAATTTTCGTAAGACGAGTCTATTCTTTGTAATCGAGCCTTAAACATTGGTATATATTTTCAATTTGCATTTGGGATTTCCAAAATGAACTTAAATATTAAGATGTTATTATCAATTATAGCTACTTGATCATTTTCTGTTTTAATCCCAATATTTTCCAAAATGACATTCTCCCTACAATGATAGACATTTTGCATTTGTTGATAACTTTTTTTAAGTGATGATTCCAATAAATAAGTTTGCTTTCTAGGATTATATCCAGATATTTCACTTGGTTTGTTCTTCTTACATTAGATATGGCATTGAATGTTATAATTTTAAAAGAATCAAATTTTTAAAAGGTAAAATTACACATCCTGAAGAAAACTGTATTAAGTACCTAATAATTTGTAATTTGTATACCTTATTTAGAAACAAAGCTCTCTAGAAGTCAAATTTAACATAAAAATAGTTTTCTTGTTATAAGTGACTAAAACATAACCACAAAATAATTTTTTTTTAAAGTAGACCTCTAGAGATCTCTTTCTAACTAATACAAAAAAATTACAGTTTATTACTTACTTAATACAGTATTCTTCAGGATATTCGAAATAATATCTTCTTTTGTAAAGAACTAATTACATGTTTCTTGTAACATATTTAAAATTAAATCTATTAAGAATACACCATTTATATTCTTTAAAAAATTTGATTTTACCGTAATTGAAAATATTCAGTTTAATTATCGATACATTTTTTATTTAATATTTGTTTATAGCAAGCAATCACCAGGAACAGAATTGATAAAGTTAAGGTAATTTTTCTGTGGGTGCAGTCCTTAATTTAAATTTCACAAAACACGAATCATTTTAAATCACTCATCCACACTCATACACATATTTATTGGTTGCTTTCAAACATATAGTTAAACAATAAGTTTTCTTTTCAAACTTGCTCCTCATAATATTAAACACAAATGTAAGACATGGAAGCTAACCATATAATACCCAAGGTACAAGTTATACTGACCAAATACCTGATGAAGATAAATATATTTAAATAAACTGACAATGAATTGCCTACATAATAAACTTCTTATTACTTGAGATGAGCAATTTTGTCTAATAGTCGTCATCAAAAATGGCAAAAGGATTTATAGTTGTCCGCAATAACATAACTATAAATCTATTTTGCTCTCTTGTAACTATTAGACAGCAGAAATTGTTCTAAACTAGTTCTAATAATTCTTGTAAATGCCAAATGGTCTTCTAATTGTTCACAATAACACAAAAATAAAGTCATTTTGCTCTGTACTACTGCTAATAGTTCTTGTAAATGCCAAATAGTTTTATAGTTGTTCGCAATAACACCACAATAAAGTCATTTTGCTCTCCCGAAAACTATATTGTGTCGATTTACCAATATATTTACTTTTACAAGGTTGAAGGTTAGATTTAATCCTGCATTTTTATTCTCGTTCTTAGTTATCATGCGTTAAAATCTACCGGAATCGTTAAACACCCAGATTTTTTTGCAATAACTCTGGGATCATGAGGAGAACCATTGCCAGAAGGTTGTTGCAAATATGATTGTTTATTTTTGAATTGTTGCTACCTGGTTAATTAACAAATTAATAACTGTCACCCAACAAAGGTCAGAACACTCGTGTTTTTCGGTAATGCAATAGGGGCTATTCAGAACTCGTAGCCAAGGGCTTCAAATTGTTCTTGTATTGAAACTGTGTAGGTAATGGAAGGTTACTTGAATAATACAATGATATATTATTAATGATTGCTCTCTATTGGCAAAATACCATGTACGTACTGCTAAGCTTTACATTGGAACACGTCTTCACAAAAACTTTCTCAATAATTTGATCTGTTTCAAAATAGTCAACTACAGAAACATTATTGGGGGGATAATGTCAATGATCGGTGGAGGTAAAAAATCAACAGCAGCCGGGTCGCCATCGTCTGCAACTTTTACAAGCAACAGGTTTGCAGTTTGTGAAATCATTCACGGCACAATTCACACACGCTGGAGTCCAATACAATCCCGCTTTCTTGCACCCACACACTGTTGCACAGCCTGTTGTTGTGCATGAACATAATATGACCTCTAATAGAGAAGATAGGGCAGCTTCATTAGTCATTGAAATCGGTTTGTAAAAATTCTTCCTAGTATCAAATTCCCAGCCCCAGTCACTGGGGTCCAAAATGTTTTCCATCCAGCATTGAATTTGGAGATAAACTTTCTTGATGTGTTGTAGAGCTGCATCTTCAGTAGGTGGTAAAAGTACAAGAGTACTTTTTGTCTTCTTAGATGCTACATTTTTGCAAAAATCCTATGTCATAATTTTTTGCAGCGTACAAAGCCAAAATAAATTTTATTCCATTTTTCATAAGGTCATATAAATGAGCATCAAGTTGTTTAAACAATTTTCCAGCATCTTTTAATTCTGTAGATTTTTTTAATATTTCGGCTAGTTTAGTCTTTCCTTTTCGATAAAACGCAAATGTTGTGTCGCATCCTGATCGTGTAAGAATAAAATATTTTCTTTAACTACTAGTGAATGATCTAAACTTTTAGATGAATAAGTTGCACCGGGTGTTTTACCTTTTGGTGGCTTCATGTAAAATATCTCTTTGTCATCGGGTGTTAATGCCACCAATATCACTAAAACATCTATGTCCTCCGCAACAGTAGCTACTTTTGAATCGGATGCAGAGATGTTTGGTTCTGCTATAGCTTTAGATACTATTAATGTATCCGCATCGTCATTGGATTGCTTGCATTTAAAATTATTCTCTTCTAAAACTTCGATTAACATTTTAATGAATCTTGATTTTTTCTTTGGACTTACTAGAAATAACTCATGCGAGATCTCCAACAACATAATATATTTCTTTATTAATTAGCCAGGTTGCATCAATTAAAACAAACATTTACGTGCAACAACCTTGTGCCGATGGTTCTCCCCATGATCCCAGAGTTATTGCAAAAAATCTGGTTCTCTAACGATTCCGGGAGTCGAGTTATTAATTTGTTAATTAGCCAAGTTTCAACAATTTAGCAATAAATAATAAATCTTTTGTTATAGACGGTTTCCTGAACATTTTGCAGAAAACCGCATCTTAATCGGACCTCTCCGCAAAAAGTTTTCCATTTTCACTTTTTTCATGCTAATTTGACGCGACTATAAGTAAAAATTATATATGCATTTTAAGTAACCTGTACAACAATAAATACAAGTAAGCTCGGCTCGGTTTCGATTTTAGTAAATAAAGTGTGAATTCAACAAAATGGGCATTCAATATGTGCCCAGCACATGTAACATATACGTATCATTTACATATACCCGTTCCGTGTTATACAGGGTGGCTCACGCTCAACGGGACGGAGCTTTATGGGAAAACGATCAAAGATATAAAAAAATTCGTTTGGGAGGAATACGTAGGTTACAGACGGCTACAATTTAAAATTTGTTAGATGTATACAGGATGTCCCACATAAGAAAAAAAATTAGTTCATTAAAAATTATTCAAACAAGAGTAAACAATTAATTTCTGGGAGACTTTTTTTCCTTAAAAATTCAAATAAATCGAAAACTAATAATAATAGTAATAGGGAACCTTTAGTTAACTGACATTATTTTTGATGTAGTTTTTAATTCTAAAATAAAAAACAGGGTGTTCCATTAAAAATAATATAACTTTGTATATTTTCTCTTATGTGGGACATCCTGTATACATCTAACAAATTTTAAATTGTAGCCGTCTGTAACCTACGTATTCCTCCCAAACGAATTTTTTATATCTTTGGTCGTTTTCCCATAAAGCTCCGTCCCGTTGAGCGTGAGCCACCCTGTATAACAAAGTAACTTACATGTTACATAATACCACATGATTACTGTGAAAAATAACCTAATTTTATTATACTGTCTGTCTGTAAAAGATCTTTACAAAAACATACCACATAGTCCTTAGACCAAAATAAGTCGATTTAAGTAAAATTATCTTAGTACAAAGTTGCTTCGTTTGGGCTCCAGAGGGCCTTGAAGTTACAATTTTTAAATCGTTTTTCCCATATAAATTTAAAACGGCATATGCGATTTTGCTGAAATTTGGTATATTGGTAGAGTTTTATGTGGCAAAAGAATGGTATTAAAATTTTGTCCGATAATAATACATAGGCGCAGAACTTGCTTTTTTAAATAATTGCACCTTTAAAAATTCTACGCCAATGGAAGAGAAGGAGTTTGAGTATAATTTTAGATTGCGCAACTCATTTACTTTAAAAAAGGTACTCTTGATAAGATTCGATTACTCTCATGGTTTTCGCTAAATTTCTGTTTTAATAATTGAGATTGTATAGGTTTCACAAAAATATTTATTTACAACATAATCAAAATAGAGATTTTACAAAAATTGTTCAAAATGTTCACCATTTTCACGCATACAAAGATTTATACGTCGAAGAAAATTAAAATGTATCCTCTCCATAACTTCTTCATCACCTCTAAGATTGTTTATTGCATCTTGAATACGTTGCCAGAGTTGTTCCTCATTTTCTACAGGTACCCTGTAAACTGTGGATTTTAGATGTCCCCATAAAAAGTAATCCATCGGTGTTAGGTCTGCGGAACGTGGTGGCCAGTTTACAGGTGCGTCATTACCTCTGCCTATCCATTTGTGTGGATATTGTTTATTCAAGTGGTTTCTAACGTTTAAAGAAAAATGTGGCAGAGCTCCATCTTGCATAAACCACATATCTCTCCGAAGTTGGAGAGGTAAATCTTCTAACAATTCTGGCAATGTATTTTGTAGAAAATCCAAATAATTTTCTCCAGTTAATCTTCGTGGAAGTATGACAGGACCAACAATGAAATTACCAATTATTCCAGCCCACACATTAATTTTGAATTCGTACTGAAAATGGTTTACCTTTATTGCATGCGGATTTTCAACGGCATAAACATGTTCATTATGGGTATTAGTTATACCTATTCTTGTAAAACCCGCTTCATCGGTAAAGAGAACCTTCTTGACAAAGTTTGGATCTCTTTCTCTTTGCATATTAACAAATCGACAAAAACCTAAACGAATTTGAGGATCATGGACTAATAATTCTTCTAATGGTTTCTTATGGTATGGATATAGCAATTGTTCTCTAAGCACTTTATGAACGACATCTTTACTTACTCTTAGTTCCCTTCCAATTCGTCTGGTGCTTAATTCTGGATCTTCTTGAACACGTTCTAAAATGTCTTCTTCAACTTCAGGAATCCTTACAAAACGTTCTCTTCCATTATTAACAATGTTGGGAGCAAAGGAACCGGTCTCCCGAAGACGTCTCTCAACAGCAGCAAAAGTTGGGTGGCTAGGTACACGACGATTTGAAAACCTTTCAGAGTACACCCTGACACTCTCTCGAGCATTTCCTTCACAAAATCCTAATGTCAGTAACATATCGGTATATTCTGCATTGGTATATTGTACAGCCATATTAATAAACCACGCATTTGTTTTTTTTTCATTACTGAGTCAGATAGAACACTTTCAATCGTTAACAAGAGATTAGGTGTTAAAACTTGACAATATTTTTATTTAGATGAAACTATGGAAACCAACAATAAATGTTTTTGTATACGTATTGCAGGCAAATAATTAATATTCCTCAAAAAATCGTACATGGCAAGAATCGAGTATTTTTGTTAAAAGTCTCGATTAGAGGTGTTGAAGAAGATATGAAAAAAGTACATTTTTATGTTTTTCATCGTATAAAATTTTGTCCGATAATAATACATAGGCGTATAATTTGAATTTTTAAATAATTGCACCTTTAAAAATTCTAAGCCAATGGCAAAAAAGGGGTTTGAGTATGAAATTTGGATTGGATACTCATTTACTACAAAAAAGTACCCTTAATAACACTCGATTTACTCTCATGGTTTTGACAAAGTTTGTATTTTAATAATTATTGTTTTTGTTCTAAAATTACTAAAATGCAAATTTCATCAAAACCATGAGAGTAATCGAGTCTTATCAAGAGTACCTTTTTTAAAGTAAATGAGTTGCGCAATCTAAATTTTATACTCAAACTCCTTTTCTTTCATTGGCGTAGAATTTTTAAAGGTGCAATTATTTAAAAAATCAAGTTCTACACCTATGTATTATTATCAGACAAAATTTTAATACCATTTTTTTGTCACATAAAACTCTACCAATATACCAAATTTCAGCAAAATCGCATATGCCGTTTTAAATTTATATGGGAAAAACGATTTAAAAATTGTAACTTCAAGGCCCTCTGGAGCCCAAACGAAGCAACTTTGTACTAAGATAATTTTACTTAAATCGACTTATTTTGGTCTAAGGACTATGTGGTATGTTTTTGTAAAGACCTTTTACAGACACCCTGTATAGCAGACCCTTCATAGGTGATGTAATGGGTTGAGCACATCTAAAAAACAATGTTATATATCGAACTACATGTAACATTTATAATAACATTATAACATTTATTATGCTTCATTATTACCACATATATTATACATTTTTTTTTATAGAATATTAGTCTTAAAAATAATACCTATACATAATTACGATGTTTTTAAAACGTTATTGAGAAATCACTCCAGAGACGTTTCTTTAGAAACATCGTAGGGACGTACATTCTGTTCGCTGTGCTTACGCGGGTTTCGGATTAAAATTTTTATGAGTATTTCCACCCGAAAATTTGACCTGTTCTTTGGGGAAATATCAACTGGTTAAATGAAATGAAAAATAATGTACAACTTTTTAATTAAATAATAATGTAGAATTTTTTGTATAATTGAGAGAAGAATGAAACTTCTTCATTAATGGAGTTTGTTTACACTTCACACAGAAAATATGGTCTATGTATAATAAGAGGGTTATTTAGCTCAAATAAAATATTTTCTAACATAAAAATTTGTTCCATGTAGAGAATTTTAAATGAAAAATAAAAAAATTGAACTTGCCAACAAAAATGAAAATCAGTCATTATCATCCAAAATATCATATTCGTCATCATCATCACTGTCATCACCATTAATTGTTATTATGATTGGACTTATTTCGTTATTTTATTTTCACAAGTCCACCAATCTTCTATTAGTTTCTCGCACTTGGATATACAGTTCCGCCACACTTCTGGAGTTGCAATTGAAAGTGCTTTTCGCCAAGTTTCCCGAACTGCGTCGTCACTATAACCATTAGGCCCAATATGGTTGTCATAATATTGTTTTGCTATTCCCCATATATATTCGATGGGATTAAACTGGCAATGATACGGTGGCAGACGTAAAACTTGATGACTGTAACTTTCAATAATCTGATCCACAACAAAGGTTTTTGTTTTTGCGTGTATATTTGCCAAGCGTAATAATTCTGATTTTAATATAAATAGAGAAAATGGTATATGCTCCTTCGTCAACCATTCTTTAATTTTATCAACAGTTCAAGAATTCGTTGGACTTTTGTTTAATAGGTACTTCACTTACACCTGGGAGAAGTTTTTCATGCAACCATTTTACAAACATTTCTGTGTTCATATTATCGTGATAGTCACTGGATTTTAATTTAGATGAAAATAATAAATCAACACCTTCTATAAAACCCGATTTCTCTTCTGCATGTAAAATTATGTGTCGCTTCCCTTCTCCATCGGTATGTTTGATGGACTTTACGTTATCATCTTGCCATATTCTCTTGGTTGCACCCCTAGAAAATATCCATGTTTTGTCTAAATATATAAAATTCTTCTTTAAATTAAGAATATTTTCTTAGAAAGTTAATTCTCTTGTGCACAACAAAACTTCTTTCACAAAGGGCCTTCCTGTTATCCGCCTTTTAAAATTTGAAACCCAAGTTATCTATCACTTGCCATAGACTTGTTCTGCCAATGTCGTCAAATTTTCTATCTATTAATTCCGAGAGAATTGTATTTAAGGTCACATGTTCCTTGTTGACCCTCATTCGAAAAATGGTATCACGAATTTCAAATTTCTTTCCATCTGGAATATCTTTCGTTTTCAATGATGGGCGAGTTTTGTGGTGATCTTCTTTCGGCAGTTCACTATTGTGATTTTGTAATGCTCCTCTTAATTTGGTTTCATTAATTCTATTCCTAGAGCATCGCATACGCGTTGTTGTACAAACATTACTGATTTTAAAGGACCGCCATTTTCTTTTTCATCCTTAAAATACTTATGTACACTATAAATTAGACTATCTACATCTAACACACGTCTAGGCATTTTTAAAATGTCCACTAAATTTACAATATACATACAATGTCAACACTTGCAAAGAATCAATTCAACTGCAATATTTGTAACAAATTTAGTACCTACCCTAATGTTATTTTAATTTAAATCTGACCATTAGGGCCATTTTACCTAATTTCTTGGGAAGAGGCTTATCGGCATTGGTTGTTGTCGGGGCGATGAGGGGGTATTTTACTTTACCTTATAGCCTCTTTAATTTGGCGGCCTAGCTATTGGAATTTTGAGCTAACCTGATGAATACTTCTTTTCCGTGAAATGGACAGCTTACCAGGTGCTGCAGCTTGACTATAGTAAAACACTTTTAAACATAAGCACAACTTGTTTATTTCAACAATCAGAACGTGTTAAGACATATAAACGTGAATGTACATAAAAGTTGGTGATTTCAAATTTGAGATGTTTGAGATGAGATGTTACCAGCTTGAGTGCTAATAGCTATCTGATCATTCTTTTACCGCTAAAAATATTTGTTACATGATTCCCCCTCCATTTACTAACTTATTTTTATTTGAATTTGATTGGTCTGGTTGGTATGCAACCCATTTTACTTAGTTGTGAATTGTGAATAGTCTATTCTTTGTTCCTGTAAAGATTGACATGCGTTGTGGATAGCTTATCTGTTTGCCTTTAATGAATATTTGTTAGAGATGGGCGCTGTTTTTATGTGTAGAGGTGTTTGATGTCGTGAGTGTTCAAATTGTATTTGAACAGTTGTCAATGATTAATTTGCATAATTTTGTTAATCCGAAACCCGCGTAAGTATAGCGAACAGACGTAGCATTAAATTTAGGTTTATGTTTATTTAATTTATAACTACAATTAATTTATAATGTAAAATCTAAACAATCACCTAACCTGAATTTTTATGTCAAATGATTGTTATTACATATTTGAATATAACTTTAATTCAAAATAACTTTACTTTATAACATTATATAAAGACTTTCACTGAAAATTGCAATTCATTGTATTGAATTAACTTTGAGATGTTAACCTCCAACATGTTTTAAAAACAGCCTCATTTTACATCAACAATCGATGTGATGAAACTACTGATAACATTTTCCATTTTTCAGTTTGGCTAGAAGACCAATCTATCCCGGACGAAGATCAAATAGATACAAAGTAAATCACCATTACCAAAGAGAGCCAAACGCTTCTGATGAAGGAAACACATCGGAATATTCGATATCACCTTCCAGTAAGTCATCTACATTAGAATCGAACCCAGATCGGATGCGACGCCTGTCCAATCTGTCAAACCGTTCAGTCAAAAGACCCAATGACAGTTTGGACAGGTCATCCGACAGTGAATCAGAGGATAATGTTACTATTGCGACACAAGCAGCGTATACCTCGAACAAAACTGAAAATGTAGTCTGAATCGTAAAGCGAGAATGTGATTTTTATTTATAGTTGTAATTATTAGGCACAGTGTCTGCTATATGTTCGAAAGCTCGGATTAAGTATAAGTTTAAATAATAGTAACTTGTATACTCATTTATATATATTTATACAATTGAAATATATCGATATATTGTACTTATACTATATTTTCCTCTATGTATACTGTAAATTAGTTATGAAAATCGATTGGTAACTAGAGGTTTAGAAATTTTCTTTTGTCTATGAGTGCTAGTTGCATATTGATGCTATACCGACATTGTATTATTCTACCGGATGTCTAAATAGGAAAGGACGCCGGGTGGGAGGCACTGTAGGGTACAAGAGCCTCGGAAACTATGCATCGTATAATTTTGAGAAAAAAACTTTAAATGTAAAAGTGGTCAGGAAGTATCGTTGGAAATTATTTTTAAACTTCTAACTTCGTCACAAAATGGCGTAGAGCTTATGATCAATATTTTTTTGGTTAGAGTATTATTACTAGTCATTATTTATTTTATTTTCAATCTTGAACCCCAGTTGGTGTTTTTGGAGTTGTAATCTCCACCGATTATTGTTACACAGTTTTTTAAGTACATTAAGATAATTTTCTTTTTTCGGGTTGTATCTTGGTGGGCAATAGATTGCAGTTATTGTAATTTTGCCCCCCTTAATGCTAATGGTTACCTGGTTGTCTGGTTCTTGGATGCCTTCATTGTGGAAAATGTTATTTTAATTATTATGTAGTCAGAATTGGGTAAACTTTCTTACATATTTTTGACAATTTCTTTTGGGTTGTATTACTCCCCCTAGCGGCGATGTTAGGAACTCGCAAATAATTTCCAGGAGTTTCCAGGAACCATTTTTAGATATAGCAGACGTTCTTTCTTATTTGAACATCCGGTACAGAATTCAAATTCGCTTTGTGTGCTCCTCGGTGAGATACAGTTAATCTTAGAAGTAATATTTAGGGATGGTTTTGAGCTTTTATTGTACTCCAATTTCTCACATATAAACTAGTTGAATTAACTTGTTAAAAAAAATAAAATTGTTGACTGGACTAAAAAAATGAGACCGGGGTGGAGTTGAAGTTTTAGGGGGTTGAAAAGGGGTAAAAATGATATTGTCGCGATTTCTGTTCAAAGTTGACATTAAAAACAAAAATTTGTAATACATAACTTGTAAATCAAGCAAAAAAGCTTTCGTAGAGGTTACTTTTTAACATAACCTCAAAACTTCCCATAAAAATGTAAAAGTTCGTTTTTTTTCGTTTTTATTTTTCATTTAACCAAAAATAATTTAATTCTGATGAAATTTGGTGAAATTATACCCATCTGGATGTATCTTGAGTGGCGATAGATTTGCGATGTTGCCAAATCGATAAAAAAATTTTTTAGGAATTGTAGGTTATGTTCTTCTTCTTCTCTTTAATTAAGGTTGTGAATGTTTTTTGGCCTGAACACTCTGGGAAAAATTCATATAAACTATTAAAAAAATATCCTGAAAGAATTCATAATCAAAAAATAAAAGTATAACATTACTCACCAGTCTTATATTATATTTCTTTATAAAGGCGACCAAAAGACTTGTTTTTTACGCAGCGTCAGCCATTTTCTGCTCACCTTACAACCGCCAGACCGTCATCATCCGGTTTTTCAAACTCAACAATGCAATACATCTGTAAAATACCAAATTCGGTTTAATATACTTTATTATTTTGTCACAATCTATTTTTTACCTTTTTCTAAAACATCTTATCAAATAAAGTACAATTTAAAAATACATCACGTTCCCAAGGTCGTCACGACTGTCACTTACGAGAATTATGAAGATGGAGGAAACAATAATGACAATTGATAATATGACATTCTCAGAAATATACAAAAAAATAACGTCATTATGACGAATTTTAAGTGACGTCTGTTCTATGTCATCAATGCGACGTCATATACACGTTACTGGTTAGGATATTGTATTTAGGATAAATAAATACGTCATAATGACGAGTTTGTATTGACGTCTAATTAACGTTACAAAAACGACATCAAAATAATGTTATTAATTGGTATAATGACGTTTCTGACGAGTACATCCCAAAAAATCACGTCATAATGACGGCACCTTGCTGCTTGGGAAATATTCTTCCCACATACCTTTGTTCTTTTTGTTTATCTCAACATTTCCTATAAAAATTTCACTAGAACTGCTCTGACCTTCTTCGGCATCTTCTTCTACATTCCTTATATTTCTGACGTCAACTTTCCCCCCTTTTCAACCACCAAAAACTTTATTTTAACCCTCTACCCCAGGTTGCATTTATTAATTTTCTTATTTATTGTAAGCCACTTTACCATTTACATTTATAAAAGTCGTTTTTGACGAGTAAATCCCAGAAAATTACGTCATAATGACGGCACCTTGCTGCTTGGGAAATATTCTTCCCACATACCTTTGTTTTTTTTGTTTACCTCAACATTTTTTATAAAAATTTTACTAGAACTGCTCTAAACTTTTTCGGCATCTTCTTCTACATTCCTTATATTTCTGACGTCAACTTTTCACCCCTTTTCAACCACCAAAAACTTTATTTCAACCCCACCCCAGGTTGCATTTATTAATTTTCTTATTTATTACAAGCCACTTTACCATTTATACTCATAAAAGTTCAGTTAACAATTTTTTTCTCAAAGTTTAATTTGACTGGACTATAATATTATTGATATGAATTTAAAATATTTATAGAGCTCTACTTCATTATTGAAACTCACTGCTGGTGATTTTATTTTATAATAATTGTTTTAAAGGGTTCTGCATCACAATTTCATTACTCTGTAAATGATATAACATTTTTGCTCTGCATCACAATTTCATCAGTTTGTTAATAATGATATAACACGTATTTTGATGAAATGTTTTGGTTAGAATTTTAGGAATATATCGATATATTTCAATTACATCCTGTACTTATACATGTTACCCTGCAAGAATAAGCATTTGATGTACTATAAAACAATGGAGAACCAACAAATAATATGAATTTTCCTAATATTTCGGAGTTAGGACAAAAAATTAAATAATCCATATAAACAAAAATATTTTTTAAAAAAATAGTGCAAAATTTTAAGAATACAATTTTAAAAACGTTAAATAGAAAAAACAAATTTCTGAATCTTTTGATTTGTAAATATAATTTTTTATATTTGTTAAAAGTAGACTGAATTGTGTAAAATTAACATCTCAGTCCAATGTTTCTTTTTAACATATGTTAGTCGTTCTTACTTATAAAATAAATTTAAATTTATAATTTTGCTTTGAATTGTTCAGATCTCTATTCTTTATTTTAATTTGAATCTTTTTAAATAATTTATTATTGTTAATTTGTCGATTTTGTTTATAGAAATACTTATAAAGTGAGATTTAAAGATTAAATTATTATATATTTTCTTAAATAATATCAAAATGAAGGAACATTTTGTCGTTTCATTTAATTTAACGTTAAACTACTTGGAAAAATGTATTATTGTTTATTTAAACAGCTAAATTTGAGTAAAAATTATTAAAATAGTAAGTTTTGTGAATATTTATGGTGTTAAACGTTATTACAAATAGTTATTCCTATTTATATTCGATTTTTTAGATAATTAAAAATATTTAGCAAAAAATAGGAAAAATCTAGTGAGGCCTTAATAATAAATGTAAATTTTCAATATTACGATTCATACAAAAACTCCAGATTCATAAATACAAGCTTGTAATATATACAAACGAATAATATTATAGTGAGTGCATTTAAATGCATTTAAAATAAAAAATATTCTTAAATATCTCAAAAATACGCTTCTTATGTGTTCCAAGGTCGTTTTGGGATAAATTTTTTTGAGAAATTAATATTTCAGTACGTTCGAAAAGTATTAAAATAAAATTAATTCGTCCCAAATTCCATTATAATATTATATAGTACTTATTTTTTCGTGTTAAGCATACGACTAGTATATAAGTTAATAAAACGGCAACATAGCAATAGCCAGTCATCGATTAGAATGTCAGTCACCAAGCCAAAGAGCATAGCGATCGCTGGGATATCGTAGTTGCCACATGTTGGCTGTGAAAGCACGGCTATGCCTAATTCAAAATAAGTACTGTATTAACTTTCACCACATTCCTTTTTAAAGCTTGTCGTCAATTTATACGTTACGAAACACGAAAAAATAAGGTTTTAATTAGATATACATAAATAAATGGAGATCCACACATATTTATATGTTAAGGTGCGCTAGGTTGTGTAGCAATTTTTCGGTTAAAAGCTGATGCCATGAGGCATTGAAATTTATGAATGTGTAAGTCTTGAAAATCTTTCTTCTGGGCAAAGTGTTTCAGGGACCATTACTATCGGCGATAATCACAATATCTTCAATTTTTATATTTTGCGACTGCTGGAACTACTTTGGATGTCTGTTTAGTGTCAGGAGGCATTCCTTTACCAAACGTTGTCAAAATGTCTATTATTTCTTGTGACAGATACCATTGCTTTCTTAAATCTACATTTTCGATGCCATGCACTGATGACCCGCATTTCTTACCAATTAAGAAATGGTTTAGAGTCAGAACATCTAGGTTCATCAGGATATGTAGGTACATATGTGAGAGATCTACTATTGACGGTAAATTTGATTTCACCGTTCGGATTAATCTTTCCCAGACTCCAGTAAAAGAGGTGGTAAAAGTGCCATCTTATATCCTTCATGAAAAATTCTCGAAATATGTCTTTATGGCTATCTGGAGGTCCTTTTTTTCTCCTGGGCTCGTCTAACTATGTCTCCGAATAACACTGAAGCCTATTGGCTTATTGTGTTTTACCCCATGTTAGTTCATAGCACCTACTCTGTCACCTTTGTACCTTATACAAGTTTGTACAGATCCTTGGGTGAATGGGTTCTATATGTTGTTGATCAACTTGGGGTTGTCCAAAAAGTGACTTAGAGCTTCGCATTCGCACAGTTTCTGGTTTCTTGTGACATAGTCGGCACTTGAGTTCCCCATTGTACATGCTAATTTTGCTCAAATGTCCCTTTACTGGGACGTGTCCAGTCATGAACCCTGTTATCACTTTCAACTGGTTCCTATTTATTAAGAGTAGTTCTCCAGTTCTTTTGGGACATGGTCTGCCTATGAAGGCTTTTCCATGTGCCTGTTTTGGGGTTCTTCCCCAATAGTTGATATGTTGTTCCCGAATCCAGTCGTTTATGAAAACCCGGACTGTACTTTTTGGTACTCCTGGGTTTATGTCTGGTTCCGGTGTTTCTTCTGACCCTCTTTTTGTTCGTCAGCCTTTTCGTTGCCTTCGATGCCTTGGTGACCTGGCACCGAAAATAGTTTTATTCTATTTCGGTCTGCCAGTGTTCTTAGTTCTTCGATATGGCCTTAAGTGCCACTTGGCTGTCTGACATTATTTGAATATGCTGATTTTCGACAGCTCTTTCATTGTTCGTTTTTGCACATTGCAAAATTGCGTATACCTCAGCCTGAAATACCGATGAATGTATTCCTATAGCATAGCTATGGTTAGTATCAGGGTTTTTGGATAATACTCCCGCCCCAGTGCCTTCCGCAGTCTTAGACCCGTCTGTATACTAGGTTTGTTCCTGTCGTTGGACATTGTGCTCCCTTATGGTGATCTCCACACTTTCCTGTATTAAAACCTCAAATGGAGTATTAAAAGAGTACCTCTTGGTTATGTGGTCTGATCTCCTGTCATTAACCTTGTGATAATCATGTGACCTAGCGTAATGTCAAGATTTCTCAGTGTATTCCCTAATCTGTAAGCACCTAATCTTGCCTTCCCTTGTGAAGAGGTGGGAGTCCTATTAGTGCTTCTATCATCATGTTGTTCCAATTTAGATCCTACTTATTGTGTCATTCTGGTGATTTTTCTTTTTATACACGAGTATATGTTTATTTTCTGTTGTTCAGGTTTTATTAATTGTCCTAATACAGATATAAACCTCTCAAATCGTTTTCACCATGCTGGCCAGGAAGCTAGAGATGTGAATGTTCATTTTTCGCCTGGTTAACATTAACCTGTTATATAATTTTCACTATTTGAGTAGTTTGATTATCTTCTTCTGAATCGGACATGCTTATTAACATCAATCTTCTTCTCGATGATCTAGTCACAGAATGACCTTGCTTTGACTTTTCTTGACATCGACTTGTCTTCATTTTGGGCTTTTGTCACTTGTGAGCCATTATTTATTCCGATGTTTTGGAACTCTGTTCCAAAAGGTTCTTTTTGTTGTAATTATTGTTCCATATATTAATACGCAGTAGATCATTTATATAACGTTTATTTAATAAAGAAATTGAAAAAGCAAACAACGTTCTAATTATTATTAATACCAGAGACAACCATTCTTTATCATCTACATCAGAGACACAGGAACAACCTTCGTCTCTTTTGACGTCTGACATTTGACATTACATTTATCTTAGATCGTCAATAACTAGACTTAGCATTACTTATGGATAAAATGGGTTTGTAACAACACTTTTTAACTCGAAAGACCAATGTATGGCCTTTGTCATCCAATCTTCCAACAAATGGTGCAATTCTCCAAATTTGTATCTTGCAGTGTTGCTTATTATATCTATTGTTACGTTTTTATTTCTCAGCTTCTTCCAGCAGCGTTAATACAACTAAAAAATCTAGAATTGTTGAATCATAATATCCACAGAAGTAACGTATATATTGGCGATAAGCTTTAATAGTCCAATAGTCAGTGGAAAATTCATTACTTTTAATTTTCTTATTTATACTTTTATATGTTTTTGGGATTGTATTTTTTATTTTCAAAAGATATTTATGAAGCTAATATAAGGCAGTGATAAAAATTGACAACCTATTTACAAAAAAGTAAAAATGGAGCACAAATACTTGTCAGAAAGACATATAAAAGTGATGAAAGATCGCACTTTATAGAAAATCTTATTGTTTCAAGACAAATTTAGAATACCTATGCCTCTAAACCATGTGTGCCCCTCACAAAAATATTTCTTTGAAATTTTTGTAATGCATATTTATGCATTAAATATTTTTCTAATATGTACGCTTGTATTACACAATTTTCTATATAATTTTAACATTTTGCAGCTGTGTCGTTGGTGTAAATATGTAAAAATATGTTTTTCAAAAAGAAAATCGGTAGTATTTTTTTGACACAATATATTTTTAGTAACGAATTGGCCATATTTTTTATAGATTGTGAATTTAGAACGAATATTTAAAAAATAATGAATGTTTAGATGTAGAAAATGTAAGAATAATATCATTTTATTTTTCATTATTAAGTTTAAGGTACACAAAAATTATGCCAATAGAAGAAATTTCTAATTATATTAATAAATATGAATTTATATATTGAATATCATATTTTGTTCTATTATAAACAAGAAGTAGGTGAAAAATATTTAAATCCATTTATCCATTTATAATTGACTATTAAATTTAAGGTAATATTATAAGTGGTACAATTATGGACAATTTTTAAAATGTTGCGAATGTCAGTCCTAACAACGAAAATTCAACGATTGTAGAGCACGAGTTTTTCAAAAATGGTGACTGTCATGAGTAGAAATTGCCAAAAAATCGTTATTTAAATGAAATCATGAAATTATATTTAGGAAGAAAATTTATTGACCATAATGACTACGATTATAACTCTCATAATGATTTGTCACACAATTTAACAGGTGATTTAAATTAATAAACAAAATAGTTGGTCCTAAATACAAAGATTATATTTTTAAACGCATGTCGTTACCCTAATTTGCAAAAGAAGTCCATAACAACAAAATTTAGAGGAGAAACAAAAAACCTTGTTATTTTTGAGGTACCAGTTTAAATGTTTTTATTTTACATATAAACCTTAAATTGTCAACATGTTTTACTTATTTAATTAGCAATTTTATTTTTTTTACTGTTTAGACAATTAAAAGGACTTAGAGTAATTACTTAGTGGACTTAAAAACACAATAGGAAATGAAAAAGTCGATAAAAAATCCGTCGAAAACTCGAGGTCGAAAAAAATCATGATTCCTATATTTTCCTTATATATGTATACAGATAGGAAAGTAAAAATATATAGTTAT